TTATTATTATTATTATTATTATTATTATTATTATTATTATTATTATTACTGATGATGTTACCTAGTTTGGGTAATGAAATGTCTGCAAGAAAACAAGCAAGCTCAGAGAGCACCAAGGAGCCCTCATGTCAACTCTGAGCTACAAATATTCTCCTTTATTGGTTATGACCATTTTTCGCAGTTACCGCCCTTGCAGCATCCCCATGGTCATGTGATCAAAATTCAGATGCTTGGCAACTGGTTCATATTTATGACCCCTGCTGTGTCCTAAGGTCATGTGATTATCTTTTGCAATCTTCTGACAAGCAAAGTCAACGGGGAAGCCAGATTCACTTAATAACTGGTTTATTAACTTATCATCTGCAGTGATTCACTTAACTGTGGCAAGAAAGGTCGTAAAATGGGGCAAAACTCACTTAACAAATATTTCACATAACAATAGAAATTTTGGGCTCAATTGTGGCTGTAAGTTGAGAAATACCTGTATTACAGTGCACTGTGCACTATATTTAAAGTCTTGTGTGTCGTGGAAACAGCAATCACTATTTTTTTCTGTGGGATCAAGGGTTAATATTTTTTAAAAGTGAGATTCTTTAAAATATACATATATGTTATTTGCTCCCTTTCTCTGTGTTTTTTTTTTTTTTTGCTTTTCTGTGTAAGGCAAAATGAAAACTAGAATTCTGAAATATTGGAATTTTTTTTTAAAAAAACAGTAACCTTGAAGCCACCACTAAAAATGTCCTGTCTTTAGTTACTACCCAGTTATATCAGCTGTTCCCAGCCTGAACTGAGAAATCTGGGAATTGGTCCAAAAATGGGAAGGGTGCTGTTTTAGATGTTTGGAGAACTGTGAGAAAATCTTCCAAACATGACAAGAGAGCATTTTCTTAGAGGACTAAAACTAAAGAGATTGAGGTCAAGTCCCTGCTCAGCTATGAACAATGATCATCTCTGCCTAATCTACTTTACTGTATTTTGAAGGAAAAATTGGGGGTAGAGGAAGTATGACATGCTATGTGCACTGCATTAAATTTCTTGGAAAAAAAACCTCAGTACGAATATAAGTCATATGTTAATCCACATTAAAGGTGACATGTGGCATATTCTTCTTAAGAAAATGCATTTTATTTATATACAAAACAGTCCTTGACATTATTTTTGTCTGACTTATGATTGTGGGTTTTTTTATAGGCTCAGGGACTGACTTGACACTTTAGAGGCAAATATATCTAATTTCAAGCATATTCTGATTTCTTGGTCTTGAGAGAGTTAGCAAGTAATACATAGTTTGTTGTAGTGGAGGCAGAGGAAGAGAAAAGTTGTATCACAAGTGTTAAGGTTTATCAGGTTTTGCCAAGCTACTCATCCTTTGGCACTCAAATTAATTATTTTTAATATGTTATCGTGTGGAATAATAACACTAAGGTATTATTACATCTATTTCAGTTAAAACATTTGTAGAAAACATGTTTTAATATAGTCTTCAAACTCAGATGAATGTATTGGAAAAGGGGAAAAAATATAGAAAAAACACAAATCCATACATATTTAAGTAGTTCCATGGAGTTTTGCTACAATCCCTATTCCTCATGCAGCATAATGAAACAGACTGGAGTTATTGCCAGTCAATTCAAGGACAGTGGTGGGATTCAAATATGTGAACAACCAGTTCTCTCTGTGGATGCTGCTTCCGGAAGTCCATTCTGGTCCTGGGCAACAAAAAATTAGTTACTGGTTTTGCCGAACTGGCTGAATCCTACCACTGTTCAAGGACTTGTTTAAATCATTATAGTGTTTGCGCCATTGAGATGAAAATACTCTAATTGCATCAGAGTGTATTATCTAAATCAATAAGCTTAAATTCATGCACTTGGATGTATAGTGAAATAAAGTTTTTTTAAAAAAATAAACTTAAATGAAAATATCATTCAATCTGCTTGTTTTTGGTCAAAGACCAAAATCAGGTATAGGTAGGTAGGTAGGTAGGTAGATAGATGAATGATAGATGATAGACAGAGAGACAGACAGACAGACCACAGTCACCACCTCTTTAGGAGTAGTTTCCAATACAGGAAATCAAAAAAGCTTCTAATCCTTTTCACCCCCCAGAGATGCAGTACCTGTGTTGGGCAAGATGAACATTGGTAATTGACCACAGAGCAACGTTTAATGTTAGCATTTCTGTAGAAAATAGTAAGTCAAAGAGAAAAATGAAATAATACTGAATCTTTTAAAGAAGGAATCAAACCACTGGACTCCAAAGTCAGTGTGGGATATTATTAATATATATATTTATTGCTCACTTAAAGATGGACATGTACAAGAGCAATAAAACCCATTAAAACATGGCAGAAATAATGATAGGACAGGATGTTAGTCAGAAATATAATGCTTCTAGAATATGTTGAAAGGTTGGGAGTTGGGTAAATTTAAAAAAAAATAAACCAAAAATTTCTGGCTTCTATTTTTTAGCATAAAAATGCTGAATCGTTGTTAATAAAATCACCAGAGTCAAATTATTATAGGATGAAAGCAGGAAGTAGCACTGGACAGCCAGTGACTAGTTACATGTAATAATAATAATAATAATAATAATAATAATAATAATAATAATAATAATAATAATAATAATAATAATAATAATAATAATAATAATAATAATAATAA